AGCTTAATGACACCTAATTAGTTCAACCTCTCTTTTAACAGTTACCGAAACTTGGCTTTTGTTGTTCCCAAATGTCATTTTATCAAAATCAATCACAAACTTCCTCGGTAATAGATAGTCCAATCCTAATATGCATTCGTCTTCAATGTCAGCCAAGTATACTTTCTGTTTGTCCTTTATGCCCATGAGCTCTATAGTTACCCACACTGGTCCCCACAACCTTGCAGAATGTCCTGTCACACCACAAAGCTTCTGTATGGCTTCTGGTACTCCTTTGTGATCTAACACCTTGATGCTCACAAGGGTTTGCTGAGATGCAGAATCTATGACAAAGTTGCACCTTTGGCCATCCAGCTTTCCTTTCACGTAGACACTGTGTGTGCTTGGCATTTTACACCTAGCTGTTGGGACTTTCATGATGGGGGTTGGTGAGTGTCCCTCAACACCAACCACTACTGGTCTTCTTGAGGCTGACTTGTTGGTAATATTCTTCTTGCACTGGCTCCTCATATGTCCTTGCTCTCCACAGTTCCAACAACCTTTCTGGGTAGCAGCATTTCCCGTGTTGAAGTTGCCAGCATTGTGCTCTCTTGTGCCCAGGTTTATTACAGTGCCAGCAAAGTCCCTCAAACCTCTCTGAAAGCTGAACTTTTCTGGCCTTGAATCCAGATGACTGTACCAACCGTGGTACCTATGTGCTGGACTTAACGTAGGATTCAAATTCAAGAGCTCTCGCCATTGCATCCTGCATGGTAGAGGGGTGTGCTTGCTTCACTTGTATCTTTAGTTGTGGACTGTCCAAGGCATCTACGAACTGATCCCTCAGCAACAACTTGAGGAGATCGGGTGGTGCAGTTGGGTAGGCCTTGTGTGCCATGCTTTCCAAGTCATGTGCCAGCTCTTGCAGGCTCTCCCCTTTAGCACAGACTCTCGTTCTAAACCTAGCCCTGTAGACTTCTGACTGATTTTGGGTTTCGTACCTGAGTTCTAGAGCCGCTATCAGTGTTCTATAGTTGTGTCTGTCATCTGCTGACAACTGTCCAAGTATTTCTAGTGGTTGTCCCTTCAAGCTCGTTGCCAGATATACTGCTTTCTGTCCACCCATTCATTTCTGCCAGGAGCTCAAATTGTGCTCTATATGCTTCCCACAGTGCTTTCCCATCGAATTCCTGTGGCTTCCTTTGTACTGGATCACTCCTATTACTGACATTCATATCTGGGATGTGACTTCTAACAGGACTGAAGATGTCTGCATTAGGGTTTAACTGCGGGGTCTGGAAGGGGCTTGCCATTGTCTAGGGCTGATTAAGTCGATGGTTAATGTATCCTTCTTGTTTCTTTTGCTGTTCTTGTATTGCTGCCATCAAATCTGCTAAGCGGTAGTTTGATTTGCCGCCTCTCGTTTCCATCTTCTTCTTTTTTTTCTATCCCACTCCTGACACTAATTTGTTACGCCTCCGGTCGTTAGTTAATTTTCCGTAAATTTCGTTCCGACGAAACTTTAGCGACGTAAGTCCTTTCTTAAATAAAACTGGTTTATTCTTTCTGAATACAACTTTGCAATACACTTAATTTCCACAGTCGCGCTATAATTTACAACGAACGTCTCACGTGCTCAACTCAACAATATTCTATCTCTCTCTGTCCGCAGTTCACTTACCATTACATTATCTTGTTGCCGTCACTTCTTGGCTGTCTTATATAAAAGAATACATAACACCTAGTAACCTCCCGAGGATTCACGAAGCTTCGAGAATATGACGTGTTACTAGAGTCACGTAACCTCCGCTGTCGTAACAATATGTACTGAAATAACTACATCATAATGCACGATGCGAATCTAATACTAGAACAAAAGCTATTAAGCACACCATACAAAAATAATAGTTTTATACTTTCCCCAATAAAATAAAACTAATATCTAACTCCATAAAAAAACTAAATCCTCCTTCTCCAAACACAAAACAGCCATTGAAACACAAGCATTTGGACTATGCTGAGTACGTCCTCGGTTCAGGTGACGTAATCGTAAATTTAAACAAATCCGAATTACACCATGACGATTTACTTATAAAACCACATGTAGCTTCAATGTGGAATATACTTAGTTGACTTCTGCTTTCAGTTTGTGATTAAACAAGTTTTGTTTTATAAGTAGACTTTGTTCATCATCGGCCCTTGATAAGACCTTAAAACAATTTGCATGAAATACTAGGTAACACTCATCTACGTCGTGTTTTACAACACTTGACCTACCCGCAGATATTAAACCTACATGTTCCTTCACGCGAGTTAACAATTTTCTTTTAATGGACTCAATATAACCCTGCTAAAACCAAAGCCAATTAAATTTATAAATGTCAAAACAATATTTTAAGATTTTCTTATTTTAGATTTAAGGATCATACTCCTTAAATCGAATAGATCAAGTGTTCTAGAATACATGCTAAGTGAGTGTAATCCGGTCGTCCACTCACATAGTTTTAAGAACTTATCACGCACCAATGATGAACAGAGACTACCTGTAAAATATAACTTGCTCATTCACAAACTGAGGCCAGAAATCAACCAAATGAATTCCACATTTAAGCTATACTTGGTTTTACAACAACGTTATGCTGAAAATATGATTTAGTATTTCTCTTTGCCTATGTTCATTCTAAACTGAAACAAACCCAATCGTCCCAATGTATAAATATATTTGAATTATTAAGGACAGAAAACATATAGTAAGCTTTGTGTACCACATTTTCATAGTATGAAAAACAGACAGCTCAGCATTTAAAATTTGTAAAATTAGAATTAAACTATATTTTAACCATGAAAAAAATCAGTAATTCTTACTCTCTCATTTCATTCCGTATCTACTTAAAAAAATCAACCCTTCTACAAACTTTTCAAATTATGAGTTATATATATATATATATATAGACACACTCGTATGTATTTACATGTGTGAAAATATAAAAGAAACTTCCTAACACTGTGTAACCAAGTTACTTAAATAATAATTATGTAAACTGATGTAACTGTAACTCATTAATTATTTATAAAACGTGTAGTTATATGTTAGTTTTAACTATTCAAATATAAATATCATAAAATAACTTGAAAAGCTCAATGTATATTATATGTACAAAGTTCCAAACAGGCTGGATAATTTACTCATATTCAAACATCATTAATATGACAGAATTAGTTAATACATAAATTATTAACTGTTAAATACTGAAATGAACTTGAAAAACTTGTCTTCTAACTTCCCTTCTTTTAAAGGTCCAATAATAACTCACAAAGAAAAGACACAAGCATGTAGAACACACAACTTTATTGCATGTTACTGGCAGTCCAGCAGATACTTGAATGTCACCCTGCTTTTAATATATTCATCTTTTAATATCACTCACAGCATAAAATCTAGCATTTACTAGAAATATCCAACTTCTATTTCATAGGTATAGTTTGCTACATTTTCCTAAACTGCAGGTGGAATTTATATTAATTGTAAAAAAATTATTTTTTTGGTTAGTAAAAATCACACAAACTTAACCCACCCAATAAAATAACATAGCAAACGAAAATAAATTATCAACTTTAGTTATCAAGTCAATGTCTTATTACCTTTGCCATTTAATTCAACACATGTATTACAGATTGTAATCAAATGTATTTCACGCAACTGTAGACATCTTCAAATAACACTTCTAATATTAATGTTGCAATACGAGGTTAAAATGATGTGAAGAAAGTACATCAAGCTATTGACATGGAACTAAAATACAATTTTATTAATATGATAATCAGTACAAATAATAGCCAATAGAATTACTACAGAACAAAATAAAGAATAACGGGTGCTCATTATCACTGCAAAAGCTATTACAAGTAAGTACTGTATGCTGTACTTAACAATTAAGTCTTACTATTTGCAAAAAAAGAAATCAATGTTATCAGTATAAAAAGGTATATATGTTTAAATCGAGAGACTACAAAACAAATATATAGCCGTGAAAAAACTACTGGAATAAATGTCGTGAAAATATCTATATTGTGGATAATTAATTCACAACATTATCTAATGTACCTCCTGGGTATGTAATTTTATCAGACTCAGCTACTGCTTGATAGAGGTTGGAGGAGGGTTTTCACAAAGCACATTGGCAGAATTAACAAAAATTTACCTAAAAACTGGAAAGAAGTACAACTTCATGGATCAGCTCACAAAAGTCATTAATTAAAACCCCAGTAAGAAAAGCACACCATTCTTTATTTAAAATGTGAAAATTCTGAATAATAAAAGAACATAAAACTAGTTCAATATTTAACATATTTTATAGAAAAAAATGAATAATTATAAGCTCAATACTGTGTTGTCATTTATAGCTAACTAAATTTAATGATAATCAGCCTGTCCTATCAAATTAACCATATAAATTTTATGAAGTGATAAAAACACAGCAGAAATACTTTTAAAGCACTTCTTAAGAGCATCTAAGATTAATGTTCATTACCACCCTCAAATTCTCTACATGTTTTTCAAATATGATTTTTTTATTTCTTTATTTTAATCCCATATGAATAATTTAACTTGATTTATAATATATAAAATATAGTTATGTATAACAATGGAAAAATACATTACTGTTTACTTTGTTAAACAACATATATTAGGATTCCAGTGACAATTTGCTAAATGTTTTTTTTCTGTACATAAAGTATAGTTGAAGATATAAAGTGTACACTTTCTAAGTAAACAAAATACTGAAATCATAAATAACAAAAGCAAAAATGTTGGTGATTATTCAAAGGAAAGTCAAGTTTGTGGAAATGGAGAATATAAACAAGGATTACAATGAAGCTTTCAATAAGTACTACTAGACAAGAGAGAGAATTATGTACAATAGCCTAAAATATTTTTGTTCAAGCATTTGTACTACAACTACAACAGCATGAACTAGCAGATTTGGTAAAAATACCAAATAAAACCATATCTATTGTACAAAGTTCTGGTAAGAACTCTTAAAACCAGTATGACACTTATTTATTAGTTTCTAATACTGTTTCAACTGTACATATGGTATACATATATATACACTGATACACAGTTTTGTAAATTAGTGTAATTTTATTCTTTTGGAAGTACTCAATAGTGTAAAAAACAATTACCATTAAAAATCTTTAAAAATCACCCAGAATGATGATAGACTTTACCTTGGGATACATACTAATTTTTCCAGTTGATATTAAAAAAAACAAAAAACCTTTAGTAATAACAAACTGTTTATTAACGTAAATGATAAACGTAAAGTTGGCCTATTTTATTTTTCCTTTCATACATTTAATGGCACTGATTTTCCAGTCATAAAGAAATAGCAACAGAGCCAACAGTACCTTCCAGTAAATACTATCATTTATAATCCTATGATGAATTGGATAAGATGCATGGGTGAACAAAAACATCCTCTCCATGACAAGTTGCAGAGATGTCTTTACAGTGATGAACGTAAGTAACATTTAACAAAGTATTTTTTTCTTTAATATAGATAGCTGATCATCATTACAAAGGCGGTAAATACTTCTCAATGAATCCTTTTGCATCTTGCATTTCCTATAAAGAATAATATTTAAGCAATTAACAACTGCAAATATCAACTTATTTGAAAAAAAACAACAATGTAAATTTACACAAAAGTACATGGACTTTTCTGCATCCAAAGGATACCAGATTTCTCAACTGATATGCTGCGTAGCAATTGTAGAAACTAGAAATGGCTGTGCTCTTGATCGTAAAATAGCACTTTATGTAGGTAACATTCATGTGTTAATGAACTGGAATTTTACCCTAGATGCAAATCATAATATCATGGAATGCATGTTTCACATCTATAAATTTGGTTCACGAGAAATTCCTGACAATTTGAGGTAATATGGCACTTTCAGTAGAGTTATGACTGGTTAAAACCTTTTTCTTGAAAACATATTCATGTAGTTGGACAGTTGAATGATTTAGAACTAAAAGACACGACCTATCGAAGAAAGAAACCTTCAATGGTCCCACAAAAGTGGAAATTTGAAACAGCAGATGGCTCTGGACAGTAATAGGCTCTAAAACTGCACCACTACCCTCATTTGTAATGCAAAGCCCTTGGGACAAAAGAGAACCTTCTGACTCCCTAGAAAAACTGTGATAGAACTTGACATATCTCATGATATCTTTAACAAAATAATAAACAAAGATTTAATTTTGACAAAGGCTTACAAGCAAAGATTCATAAGCATCCAGCCATACTATAAAATAAATGGTTGTTTTAGTGGAAATGAGCCAGAAGAAACTAGAATCATTAAATTTCCATACTTGAAAAGTCTCTCAGTGTAGCTCCAATAGACTTTTGTGCCTTTAGTTTGAATAAATGTAGTCTTGGTTATCATTGTCTATATACAATGAGGTCTGAAAGTTTGTCAAGACATGGTTTAAATTTGACCTTGCTGTCTTTCCATTGTAAGAAACTGCAAAGCCATATAACAGTGCCTAATCAGATTGAGCAAGTAGTTCCTAGGGCAGTACAAGACATGGAAGATCATTCTGTAAGTGCAATTAACTTAAGTATTATCAAGTTATTTATAAGATTAACATTAATTCTTATAATCAGTTGTGGAATTATTTATACATTTATTTACTTACCTATATTACAACTAATATTATAAATATTTATTGATTAGTTTCTTAATTATGAAAAAAAAAGCAAGAATTGGTAATTTGCGTTGAATATGGTAACCATAGTGTAAATTTTATTTAAACACACACATCTTCATTCTTTTTCATAGTGTGAATGAGTCAGAAGGTATATAGTTTTGCAAGTGTATTAGCACAAGAGATTTGTTCACATTGCTGCAGTGTAGACTGACATATAAAACATATTAAGTAACTACTAGCTAATTACTATCGTTTTATTTTATTTAACACAAAGTTAGTTTCAATATTCAAATTTCCACATTGATATTGAGAATAACTAAATCATGTAAACAATTTAATACCTAAACATTTACACAAATACATTCAATATACACACTTTTAAGCTTTACACATTTGTGAAGATAAAAAGTAAAATCATTGTTTAAATATGCATAGCTATTTCTAAAGATGTGAAACATATTACACCTTAGCCTACCATAAGTAGAAAATATTAGAAAGGTCTAGTCATGTATTAAATTAAGTCCTGCATGTTAATTTATATTAAAGTTTGTTTTGTTTTCTTTGTTGTTAAGCATAAAGTTACACAAAGAGCTAACAAGTATCGAAATCCAGTTTTTAGAGTTATAAGCTTTCAAACTCACTACTGATAACTTTAACTAAAGCTTATTAAATATATTACACATTATAAAACATTTCTAAGTATATAATTTATGTAAAAAACAAAGGTAACTGTTAATGCAACACATTTTATAAATAAAACTAATATATATGAATTTAATGTTTAAGCTTCTAATAATTACTTATTTTTCATAACTTCTTCTCTAAAGAGATAAAAAACATAAAACTCAAGCTTCATTTCATATATTTTAGTTTCAACTTCTATTTTCAGCTGTATCAGCTTTAGCACACTATGACAGCATCATCTAAAGAAAATTACTCTAACTGGTTATACTCTTTTTTGTTAATTTCACACACACTGCTCAAGCTTTTCATTTTTTTTTTATTAAAGATTGCTTATCACGTTTTTGTTAACCAATCTAACACTTAGATAAAGAAGATTTTACTCTAATGGTATAACAAAAACGTTTTCTCACATCTTCCTTTCCTTAAAAAAAATTACAACCAAGGGGTAATTAACTCACTATGTCAACTTCAGCTGATGTGCACAAAAAGTTTTTCATAGTCTAAACATAGGATTTTTACTTAATTATTTCAACTATTTATGAAAACAAAACATTTATCTATTTGTAAATAAAGTTATAGTAGAGATGTCAAAGCTAAAATGTTCCACCAGGTTAACCTGTCATCACTATCTACAGTAGATTATACAGTTTTATCCCGATTTCATTTTATCCATATTTTATTTTCTGACAGAGTTCTGCCTAAAAAACAATCATCCTGTTTCTAAAGAATTTATATATAGTAGTTTTGTTGTATATTTTTTGTACTAATAATATATAATTGGCTTTAAAGGTAGAGTTTTAAGTATCAGAGAATTTTCAAATAAGGAAACCATAACACTTTTCAAAGATTACAGTTTTCGAACTTCCCTCAACCAGTTTTGAAATATTACTTTACCATGAAATTTTAAAATCTATTTAAAGAATTGTTTCAATAGTCTCATATGCAGATTTATTCATACAAAAATAATAATAAAATAATTATATTCAAGATTTATTTATTCATTTTTAAGCAGCTAAGGTACTATTTGTATTTTCTTTCTTCCTACACCACATTATTTATGCAACTGAGGGGATCTTCTTGGACTGAGAAATGATTAATCAACCACTGGCCTGAATATCAAACCTAAGTTTAATATTGCACAAGCTCAGTTATTAAATGTCAGTAAAACAATAAAAAAAGGTAAAATATATTGAAACCTGTATAAACAGTGTATTTCTCATACTTTGTTGAATTTACATGAAATTATTTAACTCCCTGTTCATATGAGAAAACATTTTTACAAGTGTTGTTGACAAAGATATTTTAATGTCACAAATAATAATGATTCTGACAAGTTTTAATATGCAAATGCTAACAAATCTCCACATAAAACAACTATTACAATATCTACTGATTTTACTTTTTTTACTGAAGTTAGTTTGACCCATATGATTTTTTCTGTCCAAACAAACTGTGCAAAGGCTTAAAGAACAATTTCTTTTAGAGCTTTATTTACAATAGTTAGTCTGATCAGCTTTCTGTATTTAATTACAATTTATTATAAATTATTTTTTTTATTTTTATAATGGACTCCTACTGATCAATATGTAACTTAAAATATTTGGTGATAGAAGACTATTACTTTACTATACTAATTGGTTGCTTCCGTATTCTCATGACACGAACAGAAAACCTAAGATGAACACGTATTAGAGAACTTACTTCAAAATTAAGAATCATACATACAATAACATCTCATTCTATATTATAGAATATTTAATTCATGATTTATTTAGTTGCTGTATTTTGAAGCTATATAAATTTGAAGAGTGGGTTTGCTGAATGTATGCAGTAATAAATCAAGTCGTAATGGAAGTACAAGAATTAAAATTTAAAAAATAACTTTAGTGATACATAATTCAAATTCAATATACAAACACCACAAATACCTACTTCTTCACAAGAACTATGCATCATGCCTTTATAGGTCTTGAACTCCAACTTTTTCATAAACTTGGATAGAAGTTCTGAGGTCAGCTGCCCAATCTTGTAAGGAACAACAGGATCAATATCTCCATGGCACTGCAGCACAGGAATGTCTAGATTCCCTACAGCTGCCTGTATGTGAAGTATGTGTTATTATTGCAAATAAAAACTAAAATTTCTTCACTACTTCCTATGTTTATTCTTCATACCTTTGGTTCATTTTAAGAAAGAATCTAATGTAGATAAATACTTTTAAACACCTTGAAACTCAGCATAGTACTGAAATATCAGTAATGAATGGTGAAGAAAAAATATTATAACATTTCAGTCCTTTGTATTTGAAAACAGCAGCCAAGTTTGTTTTTTTCTTTTCAGGTCCATGTGTCAATGTAGTCGAATAAAACAAACAGTAAACTTGGAAAAAAATCTCCATGTATTTAACTTGTTTTCGAAAATCTGTATATACCTGTGTTACCCTTCATAAAAGTTAAGCAGTATTTAGTAGTTCCTCAAACACCCTTATATTGCACCCTTGATTATCAACATTTGACGAAAATGGGCCTAACTGAATTTATTTTTCTTTTATACACGAATAAAAATATTGGCAGGTAATAAATGATGTTGGATGAGGATGCATAGGATAGGTTACTCCACCATCAAAGGCAGCACATTCATGAAATTTAGGGAGAGGTTGCACATTTGCACTATTTAATATAAGCTAAGAAATTATTCTGCCTGTTTTTTAGTATAGCACCCAAACCTGAAAAATTGTCCTATAAAACATTGTATGACATGAAATTAACCAGAATTTATCAACTGTCATTTCAAGCATCAGAAAAAGTAGCCAAAATCTGGTGTGAAATTAAAGTTATTAATAACACAAAAACCTTGTCTATGAAGACCTTGGACTAAATAATTAAATGACAAGTAAAGCCAATGCATGACTTAAATCTGGTCAATTCAGCCACTATTCATATTCATTTGCAAATATCAATCTGATTTCAACATGCTTTAACACAGACTAAACTTTATGTTGAATGCATGCACAATTTATGATAATTCATTGTCTGCTAGTACAATATCAACATATCAGCAATATGGAATTGATTTGTAAAATATTTACCTTCACAACCAACTCGGTTCCACATCCTTCTTTTGTCTCATAGCTGATGGTATCCAGCAATTCTCACTTTAAAGAAGTGGACAAGCATATGCTGTTACCAGTCACCATCATTGTTTAATACTAATGGCAATTCACAAAAGTGGAATGTAGTCGCCAATTTGTATTAATGCATGCTCAACAACAATGCCCACATAGTGGATTGTCAGTGCCATAATAGTAAACATCTGTATTAGTCGCGTTATAAAATACCACTTATCATGTGCACTAAATAAGTGAAGTAGCGAGCATGGTTTTAAAAAGGTTTTTTTTAAGTGAGCGATGACAAATTTACGTGATCAATTAACAATGCACCTTAAGCAAAATTTATGTGTGTTATAATGCACCTCAAATCTGAAGAACTGTATTTGTCTGTTATATGACATTTATACGTATGATGAACAATAATGCAAAAACAAAAAACTCTTTCAAAAGTCTATAGGAAATCTTTAAACATTGCATTTCCATATTTTTAAATCAATACATAAATAACAACTTCAATTTCAGCATAACTGATTTCTTTGAAGGAATTCAACTAACCTCCTAATAACTTTCAAATCTGGTTCAATTTTTTAAAACAGGAATTGCATAATTCTTTACACCTTATTTAAAACTATTTAGTGGGGCTAGTAAATTAAAATGAGATTGTTCTGGAGAATTATATATATTTTGACATAACATTTACTTGACAAGACAGTGCCTATATACAATGTCTATTCTTTTAAGAACCCATATTTTTCACCTAGTTGCTGAAAAGAAGTTTAAGATAACATATAATTATATAAAATGAAATATTCCAGAAGCTTTTACAAATTTATTGTTTAATAGCTTTTGATTTCTAGTAATTTCCTTCACGTTTCATAAATGAAGTTCCATATATCCATACCTTTTCAAGAGTGCTAGTATATGCATTGATATAAAGCTTTATCACCTACTTGTATACACCACAGTCTGGGATTACTAATAAATGGCAATTTCTAGAAGTAAAAAGGTTTTCAATAACAATAATTCAATACATACTTAGTTCTAACAAAACCTACCTCAGGAAACTGTTTATTTAATGGCAGCCAACAGCTAAATGCAATGACTCCTGCTAATGGTTTAGTAAACTTAAGAGCAGAATACAGTGCTAAAGCACCTCCTTGTGAGAACCCTCCTAAAAGTATCCTCTCTGTTGGGATCCCATTTTTCTCTTCATCTCGCTATAAGGTGATGAACTTGAAAGAAAAGAGGGTGCAATGCTTTTATATTAATATATCCTTTCAGTAATGCAGTATTTACCGAG